CCTCCGCCCCTCTTCCAACTCTCTGCCTGTCTCCTGACATTCTAGGCCCAGGATTTTCCCCTAGCATCCCTATTCCTCTTGGTCACTTCCCTCACCTCTCCCCTTCCTTTCCCTTCCCCTCCCAGATCACAGTGAGCAGGAGTAGCTCTGGGACACAGCAGGGAGATTCCTTCCTTCCCATGCAGCCTCTGGCAGGCAGGTGAGGTGGAAGTGTCACTTGGAAGGGTGCTGGCAGTTGTGACCAGCCTCTCAGTGTCCTGTTTGTTGACTGTAATCTTAGTGCACAATGGGAATATAACAAAGTTCCTGGAATATTCATGGAGGGAGCTGTAAAGGACAGCATCCCTCACAGAGGAACTGAACTGAAATTACAGTTAATTAACCTTTCATTTATTCCCTGATTTATGGTATAACACGAGTTTTTGCAGGTGAAATAAAGATGCTTTTTAAATGAATAATGATGTTCTTAGTTTGGCTCTTGTAGATATCAGGCAAAGCACGTTGTCTGAAAATGGAATGTTACCTCATTTCCCAGGAGGAGGATGAATAAAAGTCATGGCTGGGAAGAGATCCCACCCACTTCCCAGTTCCTTGCCCTCGAGGTTTGGTTGCTTTTGGAGGTGCTGTTGCTCAATCCTGATCCTTCCACCTTACAGGAAAGCAGGAACTGCCCGAAACAGAGAGATGTGTCTTGTTTTGGCGGAGGGTGATACGGGGAACGGGTAGAACTGTCTTCTCCCAATTACTCTGGAAAAAGCCACTTCTGAAGGACCTGGAACAAGAAGAGAAAGTTTCCACTGATGTAAAGTAATGGTGATGTCACTTTCTCTTCCTATTCCTGGGCCTTTCTGTGCACTGGTGCTTCTTATGCTCAATGCGGCTGTTAAAACACAGATTCTCACTCTCCTTCTTTTCCAATCTCTGCAATTCCCAGCTGTGTTCCCATCCTTGTCACTGCAGGCCTGTGAAGTGGCTGTGTGACAGTTTAGGTTGAAATAAGTTTAGGAAGTGCTCCTTTCTCTGGATTGACCTGCTTTCCTGGCCTCTGAAATACAGCAAGAAGGGATTGAACCCTTCCCACCTGAGGAATTTTGTAATGATAAAATTTTTCACCACAGCAAGGCTGGTAATTTGAAGGAGAAGGGTTTCCAGCAGAAAACTCTGGGGGTGGATTTGGACTCTCCTTTGCGAGGCTTACAACCTCCCTGTTCCTCTTTAAATGCTGTATATTTATATTTATATTTATATTTATATTTATATTTATATGGAGGGAAGTAGGGCCTGGTGACTCCAGAGTAGATCAGAGTAAACATGGGCAGGGAATAAAGTGGGAATTTTTCCAGGCATAGTCCACTGCTAGTTAAACCAGGCTGAGGCAGGGATACAGGCACTCAGGAATTACAATAAAAGTCTGGTAGCTTTTTTTGTGTGGTCATGCTGAGCCTGTTGGTCTTGGTTGAACAAAGTTCCCTGGATTAAGTAACAATGCTGCAATTCTGGCTTCTTTTTTCTTCTTAGTCAGAGACTGTTTTCCTTGGTGACCTCAGAGATATCCTCGTGGTTTTGCACCCCTCCGCTCCCTCCCAGGCTGTTGTTTCAGCTGGTGTCAGCCCATTGCTCAACCTGCACCTCCTGACTGGAGAAATGCTTTGTCAGAGAACTCTTCCATTCTGGGCCTGACTGAACATCCTCCCTGTTTTTCAGGGTCTTGGCATCTTGGTGAAATTCTCTGTGATTACCCTTTGCCCTCAAGTTGCTGAGCTCCTCCATGTATCTCGTAACTCTGGAGCTTTCAGACCCATCCAGTGGCCAGGCCAGCCCTAGAAACTGGTCCAAATGCTGTTTTCTGCTAAGTTCATGGCCTGCAGAGACCCTCTAAGGTGTCAGTAGGGTGGCTGGAGACAGGTAAAAGAGACAAATGAAATGTGTTCGTCTTTGTGTGAGAAGTGCAGCCTTTTTGGCTGCGGGAGTGTTTCATCTTCTCTCCTCTGAGCCTGCTGTCCCTTCTCAGAGGCTTTTAGAAGGAACCAAGAGCACCAACCACCAGACAAGGAAGGGCCTTGCCTGTGCTAAGTACGTGTGGAGTGGAAATATTTATTTTTTTTTTTTTACTTGTTAGACTGGAAAGTTCCTGATTTGAGTTTCAGTCTTGGTCATCGCTGCCTATTTAGACAGGTTTATGGCCATGCATGACTGAGCAAGCTACTCATCGAGCAACCGGGTGGAAGATTCCTGAGGCCAGGCAGAGCATTCCTCTGGCTGCTTCTGAGGGGAGTCTGGGGGCTTTGCCTCCACAGCTTTTAGTGGGAGCATCCTCCCAGGATGAGCTGACCACGAGCCCAGAAGGCCAAGGTGTTCTGCCTGGGGTTAAGGGCTCTGCCCGCTCCAGCAGAGCATCTGAAACAGCCATGTGTGATTGCTGAGGGGTTCCTGTGGCTGCCCTTCCCAGTTATCTCCCTGTCCCACAGAGTGGGTGGCTTCTTTGCCACCCACTTTTCTTGCTTTACTGCCTGCTAGAAATGCTGATATCTGTGGGCATGGCCCAACATCTGCTGAGCTGAGCACAACCACTTCCATGTGGTCCTGAAGTCCAACCCGATTTAGAGTGTCACAGCCATTTTTTGCCCCAACAGAGATGGTCTTCCCTGTTTTATTTCTCTCTCTGTGCAATTTCCTTGCTTTTTTTCCCCCAGTTTGTTCAGTGTGCAGGGAAAGCACCACTGGATCTCTTCCCCACCCCGAGGAAGGAGCTGTGCCCAGCTCATCCAGATGTGACTTTGCAGGACAACTCACAGCACTGCCTGGCTGCTCCACAAGCAGCACACAAAGGATTAGGCCAAATTTGAGCCCCTTGAGCTGCTTTTCAGTATTTTAACTTTGATATCAAGGGCCTAAACATGGCTTAGGAGGAAGTTACACCCAGCAGGAAAGGTGGATGTGGCTGTGGAACGTGTGGAATTGTGGCTGCACCTCTGCATGAACCACAGGAGTGTTTTCTGCGTCCCCTCACAGCACAGCACAGCAGGAATGAGCTTTTCCTAGAGAAAATTCTCCCTGTGCCTCACCTCTGCTGAGAACATCCCTCTACATCAATTTAATCCCTTCACTTCATCTGAATAAGCCATGGAATGAGTTCCTGGAGAGACCTGCTCAGCAGTTTGGGGGTGGCCCCCCGCCCATCCTGCCCAACAGAGATCAGCCATGGGCCACTGCTTGTTTTTGTGGTGTTTTATCAGGCTGCTGCATGTCCTTTAACTGCCAGCTCCTTGTAAAAGCTTGTTTCTTCTCCTCATGCTTGAAAGCATTTGCTGCTCATCCCTTCTTGGGTGGCTGAGTATAAAAGCAGCTTCCTCTGAGAGATTTAGTGTCTGCTCAAACTCAATGCTGCACTAAATCCAAGGAACACCCTTTTGCATCCTCACAGAATTATCTGATGGCTTCAGGAGGGACAAACCTGTTTGTCTTTTTGATTCCTAAGTAAAACTTCTTTAAAAAAAAAAAAAGATTTTTCTTTAAAAAAAATTTCACCCACGTATCTAGAATCAAAGCTGCCTGGTGATCCATGAGAGATTGGACACTCACCAGTGCTTTCCAGGGGAATTCATGCTCAGAAAGGAGGTGATTTTTGTGGTGTATTTTGAAATTTCCCTGTACTTGTTGACTTTAGATTGGTGGTCTATTTGCAATTTTTGTACAGTATTTGAAGAAAAAGTTCAATACAACAGAAGCGGGACAGGAATGATCCCCACCCCCTTGTTTTTAACATTGTGTGAATCTGAAAGAGGGGAAAAAAAGAGGTGGATGGCACCACGGGAAGATCATGACAGTAGAGCAAATAGTGTGGGTTGTGGCCTGTGGTGGAATGTCAAGATCAAACTTATTGTGGCTTTTGCAGCTTGGCTAATCCATGTTGTGAAAGCTTCTGTACGTGCACCTAGGGCACAGACTGCCTTTGGAATCAGGGATGGAGCTTTCCCCTCACAGACAGTGGAGTCAGTCTGGAAATTAGTTTAAAAAGGGATGATACATCCAAGTAAATTCGCCAGATCCTTCTTCTGGCTATGCTGACAGAATTACTGTATTATTAACATTGTTCTTCCTCACTCTCTTGGCTCTAAGTGTATTTTTACAAGGCTTGTAAAAGAAATAAAAATAAATTAACGGATATTCTGGGAAAATTAGAGAATTGCAATCTCCTACAGCATTTTGTTTAGACTGTGTGTAATAATACTCCAGAGAGAAAAAATCCTGTGTCACAACTTAGAAGAAGTTTGTCTAAAGAAGGTTTTATCCCCCTTGTCTACAAAATCTTGTAGTACAAAGCTACAGATTATTCTGCATTTGGGACATTTTCCCTGTTTAAAAACAGCTTTGTTTTCTGTCTCCAAAGCAAATTTCCCAGCAGAATTTCAAACATCCTTTGTCTGTCTCCCTTTGGAGAGTGTTTCCAGGAACCAGCAGCTTCTGTGTACCCCAGTCATTTGCATTCTGTGCTGTAAGTACCCAGAGAAAACTTGTTGCCTAAATCCCGGGTTTCCCACTTGGAAAAATTCAGGCACGTAAAAGAAATAAACTGAAAAGTTTGCACCAACTGTTTTGCTCAAGGAGCGACAAGAAGGAGTTTTCAGTTAAACTCCCAGAGCAAGTGGAGCCCAGATGTTTTTAGTAAACAGTTTTCAAAACTCACAGTTGAGATCAGTGTCAAATTTCCAGACACATGATGAACCTTGGAGCCAAGTTTAGGATTGCTTTTGTGTTTACATAAAGCCTGGAAGCTGAATGACACTGAAATTTGTGGATGTAGTGGAGGTTCTTAATAACAAATATTTGACTGGATGCAATTTCTCTTATTTACAGGACTTTGAGATTTGGGGAAAGAAAAAAAAAAAGGTTACTGTATTTTTGTTGATCTTACATCTGAGGCATATTCAGCACTTTCTTGCTCACTGGAACAGTTGTTGATTTTTAATTGGAATCTGTTATTATTATTCTGGCCATTAAACCAGCATGGCAAAATCAAGTGTTTTAAAGCTGGAGGTAAACCATTTCTACAGGTGAGAAATGAAGTTTGTGCATTCCTGGGCATTCTGGCTCTCTGCTCTCACCAAGGCAGCCCTCTCGCTGAAGGTTTAACTGGATACCTAAGCCACATGCCAAGGTTTTTGCTCAGGGACTGTATCAGCAAAAATGTCTCAGAATTTAATTTGGGCAAATACTGTCCAGTATTTGTTTAGGAGTCCTGTTTTCTGCCCCTTTGGAAAGCTCATGCATGAGAAGGGCACGGGTAGAGTCAGGATAAATTATATTAAAGTGGGGGTATGAATCATGGAAACTTCCCCTTTGGATGTATCTTGGTCTCTGACCTAATAGCCTTCTGTATCATATGCAGACACTCACCAAAGAAGCTCTGATTAGTTTTGCATGCTTAAAACTCAGCTTTACTATCCCTAAATTGGCAGATTTTGAGATCTGTGCCCTGTGTACAGTAGCTAAGCTGTAAACAAGAGTGTTTGCTCCATTGTTTCTGATGGGATGTCATCCAAGGAAAAACAGGGATTGTCTTCAATAATTTGAAGCTTGTGTAGGCAGACAATACATTGTTTTTGCCTGTGGGCAGCATGAACATGCCTCTACTTCAGCCCAAGAAAGCAGCTGAGAGGGACATGAATTCAAAATCCACACATGTTGCTAAGAGGATGGGACAGGCCCTGGGCAGCTGGGAATGTTGGGGGATAAAAAGGCACTAAAATAAGGGCCAAGATTTTCTTCCTAAACAGTAAAGATTTTTTTTCCTAAAGAGCTTTACAGGCATTCTTGGAAAGAAGCCTGCTAAAAGCATCACCTTACTCAGGCTGGGCTTTCCATCAAGTGACTTTCACATTTAGGAGGGAATTCTTCCCTGCGAGGGTGGTGAGGCCCTGGCACAGCTTTCCCAGAGAAGCTGTGGCTGCCCCTGGATCCCTGGAAGTGTCCAAGGCCAGTATGGACGGGGCTTGGAGCAACCTGGGATAGCGGAAGGTGTCCCTGCACATGGCAAGGGTGGAACAGGATGATGTTTAAGGTCCCTTCTAACCCAAATCATTCAGGGTTTTTATTATAAATGCATTTTCATGAAGAGCAGCACAAGATAAAAGGAGGCCTGAACCCATCCATGAGGATATGAATAATGGAATATTTGATATGAATAAAGGAATTTGAATTAAAGTTGAAATTAAAAGAGTAATTTGAGACAGGAAAGACCTAGGAATGGCTGAACCTAATCCCATATGAGAGCAGAGTGGTGAATTCTTCACCTTGGTTACCAAGACATGACCCCCATGGCTATGCAATCCCGTGTTTCCTCTCCTGCCCACATAAATCTGCTGTCATCAAATACAATGTGCATTGTGCAACTCCAGAAAGCAGAATTTGGGACTTCCCTAATCTTACTGACGTGTGGTCACGGGTGGCACAGACTGTCCAAGCTGCAGAGGAAATATTCCTGTAACAAACTTTGCAATTATGGAGGTTTGTTTGATGTTCCTGTTGTGAAGACGATCCACTGTGAGCATATTAATAAAGAAAAAACAAATTTATAAAGAGTCTGCCCAGCAGCTACAATTTTTTTTTTTTTTTACATAAGCATTTATGTGGGAGGAGAACAGGAGATCTGAAATGTACCTGGCAGCCTGCTGAGGCATAGGTATGACCCATGTTATGTTATAGATCTTAATTACTTATGATGGTTAACCGACAGGAGCAGCAGAAAACCCTGAAACAAAGGGAGGCCGAGGCTCCCTCTTCCTCCAGGGCATTTGGAGTGTCTGGAAAAGTGCTCTGGTGCTGCCCTTTACCCACACACAGGCACTTGTGCAGTCACGCGTGGGACATCCCAGAGTGCCGGGAAGGGTCAAAGACCAGATAAAAATATGTAGAAAGAACTGGTGAGAGGAAAACAATTATTTAATCTGAGTTTATGGTCTGAGTATATACAGGAAAAAGTATTTAATCTGAGTTTGCAGGTTTAGTCAATAGAGGAAAAAATATTTATTCTGAGTTTACAGGCTCAGTAAATTGTATTTCTGATGGATTTCAGCAGGAATGCTGACTTTGGAAAAACCAGGGTTGAACATTGGCTTGGGAAAAGCCAAGATTAGGGCATTCAGTGCTATGGGATGATCTCAGTTTAAGCAGTTTCTATTCCGTTGTAATCTGGTTAAAATTTGAGAAAGCAGAAACTAAAATACTCCAGTGCTTTTTGTAAATTAATGACTGAACTGAATTGACTGAAGAAACCGGTTTATTGAAAATAAATCATGGCACACACCGAGTGACTGGGATAGCACTAAAAGCAGCTGAAATAGTAATTGCATTAGCAACAGGTTCAGTTTTTGACATTTGGCCTTCAATTTCTGCATTTAAATTGGATTTCAGGAACTTTTTGTTCTCACGGAGGGGGTGGTAAGGCATTGGCACCAACCGCCCGGGGCAGCGGCGGAGCCCCCGTCCCCGGAGAGATGTAGGATGTAGGATATAGGATGTGGGACACGGGTTAGCGGCAGGTTTCGCACGTGGTCGAGGGGAAATGGCCGGATTTGGTGATTTTGGGGGAATTTCCCCACACGGCCCATCCCATGATGGACGCCGCTCCCGCGGCGGGAACCGCGGGCGCGAGCGGGCCCCACCCCCGATGTGGGCGTGGCCTGGGCGTGTGCTGAGTCACGCCGGGACAGCAGACGGGCACCGGGACGCCCCGCCCCTTCCTGGGGGCGTGGCCTGCCGCGCGGCGGTATAAAAGGCACGTCGGCGGGCGGGTAGCCCTCACAGCGCGTCGGCGGCGGAGCGAAGCGGGTTCCTGCGTCAACAGTGCTTGGACGGAACCGGCCGCGCTCGGGCCCGCCGCGCCCCCCTTCCCCATCTCCACCGTCTACACAGTCACCGCAACACCCACCGGAGCACCCCAGCCATGGCAGCGCCCCCCTCTCAGGTGCGCCAGAACTACCACCAGGACTGCGAGGCCGCCGTCAACCGCCAGATCAACTTGGAGCTCTACGCGTCCTACGTGTACCTCAGCATGGTGAGGGCAGTGGGCGCGGTGGGGTGAGGGAAGGGTCCTACGAGGGATAAAGAGGCTGCACGAAGGCCTTGCCCAGCGGGGGGTTCCTGGGTGCCGGGCGGTGCCTGCGGGCCCAGCTCCTCCTCCTCCTTTTTCTCCACCTCCTCCTCCCCCCTCTGCCTTCAGGCCCGTCTGGGCCGTCCCCTGGGTGTAGGTGAGGCCCTTTTATCTCGCCTGCTCCGCGAGCCCCGCGACCGTTGCCCTTGGCGGCCTCGTTATCGGTCGCGCTCAGCGCCTCGCCGCCGGCTCTGCCCTTGGGGCCGGGCTGGGTAGCGGGAGGTGCCTAAACGAAGCCTTTGGCACCTTTCCCGCAGGCGTGCTCGCCTCCTAGGCTCGGGTTTTCCTTCAGGAATCAGTAGGAATCCGTGGTTTCCTCGGGCCCTGTGTTTACGTGCCTCCTTTGGCCCGAGGCGCCCGTTTTAGCCGTTCCCTGACCTCTGTGCAGCAATCGTGGTGCTTTGGGCGTGATGGGACACTGAGACTTCCTAGTCACGCTGTGCTGTGTTTTGGCACGTATTTTGTAGGTTTTTTTCTCCGGTAATTTGTTTCTGAGCCCTGTTTTGAGCTTCTGTTGTTCGATGATAGTGGTACACAAGCACCAGTGCCTTGCCTTGAACCTCCAGGCCGCTGGTTTAAGAGCAGAGAATTCTGTAGTAGGTTGGTAAATAATTGGCAGCTGATACAGAACTTTCCATTGAATTTTGGTAATGACTCTGAAGGAATAAACAAATTGTTTGATAGATTTCAACTGCTGTTACAGGATTTTTTGGCTTTCAGAAAAGTAGTTGCTGTTGAATTCATATTGTAGTTGAATTTATCTCTTGTATTTTAAATATTACTTTTACTTCCCCCCACCAAAAAAAGTAGAAAGTGTATTCCTTAGTCTAATCTCTAGAAAGCCTAGGGGAGCAAAAGAGCTTTATTGCAGAAGTACCTAAAAGTTCTTGGCTCTCTCTTACCTGTTGTTGCAAGTCAAGACCCTGACTTGCAATGTGATCGTTGTAAACAAGCTTAGGCAAACAAAGGGAAGATTCTCCTTGAAAAAAAAGGCTTTGCAAGGCTGAAGCTTAATGCTTCTCAGAACAGCTATCTGCAGGCTTTCAGGGTTTTGGGTTTTTTTTGGTTTTTTTTGGTTTTTTTTGTTTTGTTTTGTTTGGTTTTTTTTTTTTTTTTGTTTGTTTTTGTTTTCTCAGAACTGAGCCAAGGACACAAACACCATTCATTTGTGCCCTTGGTAGGGATGCAGGTTAAAATTTAACCCTAGCTGGAAGGTCAAATGATACTAAGGGGAGAGTAGTTCCACACTGCCTTGCTGGCCTGGGCTTGGACTGCAGCCATCCTGAAGCAGAGGTTTAAAGCCTGTGAACTTTCTTTTTTTTTTTTCCAGTCCTACTATTTTGATCGGGATGATGTGGCCCTGAAAAACTTTGCCAAGTACTTCCTGCATCAGTCCCACGAGGAGCGGGAGCACGCTGAGAAGCTGATGAAGCTGCAGAACCAGAGGGGTGGACGCATCTTCCTGCAGGACATCAAGGTGAGTGTGGGTGGAAGGGGATGAATTTTCCTCTGGGTCCTCCCCAGAAGAGCAGCAGTTGACACGGGAGAGGCACAGTAATTTGAGATGAGGAGCAATTTGATTATTTGTGCTGATTGACTAATAAAAAAGTACTTCTTGTGTAAGGAGAAGGTGTTGAGCCCCAGGTTGTTTGCTGTGGGATGAGGGCAGAACCAGAAGACAACTGGTTCATCATCATTAAATTTAACACTGAGCAGATGTGCTCTGTGCACTGTTTCGGGAAGTGGGACTTTGAGGGTTTGCTTAGTTCTGTTCCCAGGGTGCACCTCAAATTTTTGACTTTGCATAAGTGCCTAAATGTGGTCTAAACAGGCTTTGAGAGTGATCTAAAGACTCCATCCTGCTGGTCTGTGGATTCTTATAGAAAACGTGTCCTGTGCTTTCCCCTTGCAGAAGCCAGACCGTGATGACTGGGAGAATGGCCTGACTGCCATGGAGTGTGCCCTGCACCTGGAGAAAAACGTGAACCAGTCACTGCTAGAACTGCACAAATTGGCAACCGAAAAGAACGACCCACATGTAAGTGCATGCTCAACATGGCTGTCCAAAGATGTGGCTTTAGGGCTGAGCTGTGTGTCCTTGGAGTTGTTAAAGGTGAAGAAAGGTGTGAACCAGGGGTGCAGCCCTTCCAGACACCTTTGGTGGGGTTATTGCTGTCCTTCCAGTAACATTTTTAAGGTGGCAGGGACTTGATATATTCCCTCTGAAGTGTCTGTGAACAGTCTCTATGGAGACCGTTTCTGAGGGGGTTGAGTTCCATCTTTGTAAGGCTTTTTGTCACGAGGCTTTTTTGCCACAAAATTCCAGAGTTGCTTTGGAATATTAAAAGCCCTGATGTTTCAGAACACTGTCTGAAAACATGTAATTCTTCTCAGACAGAAGTTTTTGGCAAGGCTGGATTGAGGTTGCTTAATATTAGGAAGAGATTAATATGGGTGAGAATCCCAACACTCTAGGGAGTGTCCTGGCTAAGTTAGAGGGACTTTTTAAAGCAAAACCAGAGGTATAAATCCTCACTGCTGTGAGCTTGCTGTGCAGTGGGGA